CAATGAACCGCCACAGCTGCCGTGCCGCCCTGAGCTTGCGATAGAGTGCGTTGTTCTCCTGCTGCAAGATGTCGGAGACCATATCGTGCTGCTCATCGGCCTGTTTCGTAAGCCTTAGCAGCAGATCATCAAGCTCGAAGGTGTCGGAATAGACGCTTGACGTGCGACGAGGTTCCATCATTGTTGCGGCACCTTTCTGGTCTGGTGACGATCTGATTAAGTACTTTGGGGGCGTCCACATTTAGCTTCAGGGCTGCCAGCATTAAGTAGGCTCAGTTACCATACTCGTGGATATGGAAAGGTCTTTCGTGAATCAGTCGCAAAAACTCAACGGCTGCTGTGGTGCGGCTGCTGTGCTGGCAAAACGCAGATACATCGCTGTTGGAGGGATGCTTCCCAGCTCCAGTCGCCATCGGCTGTTCACACCGTCACTGGTCATCAATCACCCGGCTTCGCCTGATTGACGGACATGTCGTCAGACACCCACCGATTCGAACTGTTCTGTCGGCGCCCTGCTTCTCTACGACTCGTTGCTGGCGTGGCTGAGCGCATCCTTTCAAGAGTCCTGCCCATCAGCAGCGACATATGGAACCTCTCCTCAGATTTGGCAGTCTTCCTACGCCATCTGCTGCTACGGGCTGATATCAGTCGTGCGGTACTCTGCGGTAGTCTCATCTACCTGGAGCGTGGCCTCCAGCGATCACAGAACTCTCCAATGACGGAGGCGGATCGGCATTTACGCGTCCTGTCGGCCATCATTCTCGCTCGAAAATATCTAGAGGATTTCACATACAGAACGCCATTCTGGACCGGCCTTGCGGCCGAAGCATGCTCATTTCATTTTGCAACCGGTGATATCAATGTCGCGGAAAGCAGACTTCTGGCAGATATAGCTTGGGACTTGAGCATGGATAGCCAAGAGATGCACAGAATGGTAAAGCTCATCCGTGGTTCGAACACCATCCCAGCGCTATGTAGCCACGGGCCCATCTCTAGCCAATTCTAGAAGCAGGAGCAATAGCGTGTGACTAGGCTGATCTGATTGAGTCGGGATGTACATAGAGACCAACTTTACCTTCCATGATTCAGGTTGGCTTTTGGCTATTCAATTTGGATTTCGTTCGTCACGTCAATTCATACTACTGTGCAGTACAGTACCTATTGGTTTTCTCATTCAACATCCACAGGCGAAATTGGATGGTCCAGGTACGTTACTACGACGGAACGTTGCCATCAAAACGCTTGGCAGATGTTGCAATCACGACAAACAAGGGACCTGCAATATGGATGTCGAGCAAGAAGACGAAACAACCATATGCTCGGACAGTCTTAAACGATGACCTAGAAGATAAGTTTCATTTCCTACTTTTGAGAAGCAACAATCATGGGCTTCTGCGGCGGCCTGAGATTGGTCATTGTGTGCCGTATCCTTTCGACGGGAGCAATCAGCTTCCAACGCGCCAGAAACACCGTTCCATTTTTGGAAGCCGGTCTTGGCTGCAACGACGGAGTTCGTGATTCCCAGTGCAGTGTTCAACCCCTGTTGGAAGGGTCAAAAGCGGTGCAACAGTTTCTACTGCTACAACCAGAGTTGCGCCAGTCGTCAAAAACAGAAGTGGATGAGAAAGATACGTTATTAACCCCAAGGTACTAGCGCCAGATTCAGCGCCAGATCTGGTCGTAGCCAAGAAAAGTCTCAGACGATGAAGGTGGTCCCGTCTGAGAAGGTGGGGTGGATGATCACGTCCAAAAGATGCTCTACCGGATGGCCCCGCCAGACGCTGGCGCCAGATCGGGCCGCATCCACCTACGCCCGGGCCGGAAGCCG